CAATTTAATTCAATTCTGACACTGTCTATCTCACAGGTGGCCTAGGATGGCTATTAATGCAAAGCTCAAATTTTGCTATTTGCAAAATCATAAACTTAATATATTATGAGTTTTTTTGGTGATTTTTTGGTTTTTTGGTAGAACTCAACCACATGGTATGAACTTCACAGATGACAAATGGTGTCACAGCGTCCCATAAAATAAACATACATATGCTCTCACTAATTGTATGCATGGGTGGCTTACAGTTGTTATTTTCTAAGCACAGACAGTCCAATTGACACCATCAGACATCACATGTGCTTGTGATGACTTGATGAGGCAGTGATTATCAATAATATTTCAACCTGCCATTGCATTGTTAGGCATTTAATGCTGTCTAGAAGTCAGGTAAGTATTCTTATTTGGTTATTAAGGATACTTCTGCACTTAGCAGCACTCACATCATGCTGTACTTTACAATTACAATCGGTGCTCCATCTTGCCCCACATCATCAGCCAAGATGTGAAAGGGCCCAAACCTTGCTTTCTATTTTCCTGTTAGTTAATTTTCATAGTAAAAGTAACTGTAGCCCGTCAGCATGTCTTATACACGCTCTCAAAAGAAAATGAATGAAGGAAGATTATTTACTGAAAAATGGACAGATGACTGTATTGACTTCTTTTTTGAGGCAACTAGTAAGGCATTTTGCTTTATTTGTAGGGAATTTGTGCAAGTTTTCAAAGACTATAATTTGAAAAGGCATTATTTGCAAAACCATGCTGCCAAAGTCAAATTCAATGTGTATGAAGGATTGTGTCAGAAGGACAAAATAACAGAACTGAAAAAAGTCTGTATTGTCAACAAAAAGAAATTTTTGTAAGTTACAATGCAGACTTATAAAAGCTAGTTATGTGATTTTTGATAGCAAAAAAAATCAAAACCATTTATTCATGGTGAGTTTATTAAGCAATGTTTGGAAAGCATGGCAGATATAATTTGCCCTAGAAAAAAGGGGAATATTTATTAAGACCAGTTTGTCCGACCAAACTATATAGCCAGGTGAATTGAAGAAATTGGAAAATCTATCAAAAATTTTGGACAGTAAAGCTACTAACTTTAAATTTTGTACTTTGGCGTTGATGATAGCACTGATACTGCAAATAAGCCTTAACTTGCCATTTTCATTAGAGATATTGATGATGAGTATAATGTCACTGAAGAAGTGGCCTCTTTAGTGTATTAAAAGACAACTAAATTGAGAGATTTACACAAAAAAGTAAAAAATATGCTAAAGCAGTTGTTTTTGTCCATTGTGAGCATGTCTGGTATAGTTACTGATGGTGCCCTGGCCATGGTAGGTGAAAGAGAGGGACTCGTAAAATTGCTAGAAGACAATGCAGTTACTGCCCAGAAGTCACGTTTGATGAATATCATTGCATAGGACATGAAGAAGATTTATGAGCAAAAGCTACAAAAATGGATAACGTCATGCAAATCATCAAGACTGTGAATTTCATAAGGGGCAAGGGATTGAATCATTGCCAATACTAGGAATTCTTTTTTTTATTGAATGGTAACTATGTACATTAATGCACTTCTGGGGTACAGTGTGGGGTTTTCACACACAATCCAAAACACTTCCATCAAACTGGTTAACGTAGCCTTCATGTCATTTTCATAGCTATTATTTTAAAATGTTCACATTCTACTCTTAGAAAGATTCACTTGTACCCTTGTAAGATAAACCTCAGAAGTGATCCCTCCAATCCCCCTCCCTCCACCCATTCCCTCCTCCCCTCTCCCTCCCGCCTCCCCATATTCTTAGGCTGTTATTAGGTTATAGCTTTCATATAAAAGGTATAAATTAATTTCATAATAGCGGTGTGTACATTGGATACTTTTTCTTCCATTCTTGCGATACTTTGCAATGCTGACTATGGCAACATCATTTATTTTTTAGAAGTAAGACGGCTAAGTCAAGGCCAAACGTTGAAAAGATTTTATGATTTGCAACATATTATCAAGTCATTTATGATACCAAAACTACATTTTGTGCCAGAACCTGATAGTGAAAACTGGCATACAGACTTAGCATTTCTAGAGGACTTGATTGCTCATTTGTATCAGTTAAACATGTGTCTTCAAGGGAAAAACCAACTTATCAATACAATGTTTCAAATCGTAACAGAGTTCCAAATAAAAATGAAATTATGGAAAGCTCAAACTAAGGCAAACACTTTTATGCATTTCAATATGTTGGCTAAACACAGTCCTGAGAACAATGAAAAATAGACAGTGTTGCTTTTTGATCTGATATAAGAATTTAAAAACATTTCAGATTTCAGGGAAAATAATATTTTGGTATATTTGCAACTCCATATTCAGTCAACATAAATATTTTACCTGCCAGTTTTCAAATGGAATGTGTAGAGCTACCGTCTGATATTCGACTTAAAGAAAAATTTGATCATGTCTCTTTACGGGGCTTTCATAGGTCCTGTCTTCCCAGAAAGAAGTATCTCTTGCTTCACAATCACACCTTATGCATCTCATTGCTTTTTGGCAACACAAACATTTGCAAGCATCTATCTTCAAGAATGAAGCACATTAAGAGTAAAATTAGGGTGTGGGTGCGGTGGCTGTGGCTCACACCTGTAATCCTAACACCCTGGGAGGCCGAAGTGGGTGGATTGCTTGAGCTCAGGAGTTGGAGACCAACCTGAGCAAGAAGGAGACCTGGTCTCTAAAAACAGCCAGGCATTGTGGTTGGTGCCTATAGTCCAGCTACTTGGAAGGCTGAGGCAAGAGGTTCTCTCTTGAGCTCGAGTTTGAGGTTGCTGTGAGCTATGACACTCTGCAGAAGGTGGCAAAGTGAGACCCTGTCTCAAAAGAAAAAAAAATAAAATTAGAGCCAAAATCTCTGATGAGCACCTGAGAGCTCACCGAGAATTGCAGCTACTTCCATTGAACTAGATATTGATTCCTTAGTTTCTCAGACACAATGTCATATATGCTGGTAGTTTTGTGTTGCCCACTTTTCTTTTACTTCTATTTAAAAAATATGTAAAAAGATGTTTCATTACTTAGATATGTACATTTTCTGTGTTAGCGATCACAAACTTGGGACCTGCTCTGTAATTTTAGAAGACTCTGAACAGCCCACTACATAATTAGGATTATTATCTGAGGAGTTTTTTCCTCAATTGTGGTGGCCAATATCATGAAATTTATGCACAGGCCTCCTTTCTGCTCATCAGCTTTCATTAGTGTTTGTGTATTTAATGTGAGTCCCAAGACAACTCTTCTTCCAGCATGGCCCAGAGAAGCCAAAGGCTGGAGATAGCATCAGATCCCATAGGAAAGGATTTGGTTCAAGACTGCCCCCCACTTCATAAGCCAGTTGTAAGTTGTCCCTGTATTTCTGAGCAACCAGCTATAAACTGGGGATTCCCATGACCCTTTCCTTTAGGTTCAATTAATTTGCTAGAGCAGGTCACAGAACTCAGGGAAACACTTAAGTTTACCCATTTTATTATAAAAGGATATCACAAAAGATATAGGTGAACCGCTAGATGGAAGAGAAGCATAGGGCAAGGTATGTGGGATGGAGCACAGAACTTCATGCCCTCTGGGCACACCACCCTGCAGAGACCTCTGTGTGTTCAGAAATACGGAATCCCTTCAAATTCAGCCCTCTTGGATCTTTGTGTTGATTTCATTACACATGCACCTCGGCCTTCAGCCTCTGGGTAGAGTTGAAAGTTTCAACCCTCTTATCGCCACGTCGGTTCCCTGGCAGCCATCTCCCATTCCGAGGCTATCCTAGAGCTTACCAGCCATCAGCCACTTTATTAGAACAAAAGATTCTTCTCTCAGTTCTGTGTCTGGAACTAGGGTTGAAACCCAAATATTAGCAAAAGCTTCTCCTAGCACCTCTGTCTATAGGGTTTTAGGAGCTTTATGTCAGAGACTAACATACACTATTTTAATTTTACACTCCCCATTTCACTTCATAGAATTATAGAGATTCTCTCTTACAGTAAGATCTATAAGTGTGTCTTAACTGGCAGTGTGATAAAGCAAATGAAACAATTGAGGGAGAGCACCACAGCCAATTTTGCGGAATTTTTAATCTCCTGTTAGGATGTCTCATAGGCCATGCGTGTTATGTGAATGACCATACATGGGGACCAAACACAGAGACCCGTTACAGTTTGTATGCTGCATGTGTGGAATGTTTAATTTCCTCTTTTAGTTATTTGTTCATTTACTTGCTTATTTTAGAGTTGGGGTCTTGCTTCGTTACCCAGGCTAGAGTGCGGTGGTGTGAAACTCCTGGACTTAAGCGGAGTGATCTTCCTGCCTCAGTCTCCCTAGTTACTAGGACTTTAGGCATGCGTCACCACATCTGGTCTTACTATGTAGCTCAGGCTAGTCTCCAACTCCTAGCTTCAAACATTCCCGCGTTGGCCTCCCAAAGTGCAGGGATTATAGGCACAAGCTGCTGCACCTGACCTCAAATTTAAGTAGAAGTTCTGATATTATCATCTTGCATCCCAGATGATGTTCTTGCCTTTCTGGGGTTTCATACTTACCACTTTGAAGACTGTTGGTCTCAAACACCTTTATGGATAAGGTTATTTGAAATCCTAAGATATGAACTTAGGGAAATTTGTACATATTTTGAATCTATCCCGTATATAGCTCTGTGTTTCAATATATAATATGATTTCTCCAGATCTGTAGAAAAAATTATCATGAAATTAAAATTTACCATTCTAATAATGCATGCCTTTAAAAACTCCTTAGTGCCCATCCATTATGGCAAGTAGCTTCTTAAAATGATTTCATTGGTCAGAGATCTGACAGGTCTTGGGAAATGGTAGTCCCTTTCTTATAACACCAAGAAACTTCACTATTCTGATTCTTCTAGGATGAGTTCCCATTTAAGATAGTCTGTTGTGAAATATGGAGTTATTTTATGACACTCTGATTTTTTTTTTCTTTAACTTTACAGAGACTGTGCAGTTGATCCAACTTGTGTTTTATGCATGGAGTGCTTTTTGGGAAGTATTCACAGAGATCATCGATATAGGGTTAGTAATATCCAAATAATAACCACACCCAGTATTGAATTTTTATACTAAGTACCTTTTCTTTCTATTTGAAACCCAAAGATTTAACACTAAAGTGGAGGAGAGGGTTTAAAGTATTTGTTATTTAAATGCCAGTAAACATGATGGCAGTGTAGAAATGAATTGAGTCCATACTTCTTGGAACATACAAAGAGATAACACAAATACCAGCTCTTCCATATTGGTTTTCAACTGGTTTGTTTTTGTTTTGCTATTTTAAAATGTTTATTAAAGAGGCATCTACTGTAGTGTAAGAGGAGGCCCAACTCCAGCAAGACCTGCCAACTTTAGTATTTTTCCCTGGCTGTAATGCAGTCGGTACTACTCCAAAAATCAGGTATGTTTGTTTGTTTTTAAGTTGGGAATAGGTAAAGGCAGGTTATTCCTAAATCTGTTCTGGCTCCTGGATTAGAAAAGTTAGGGAACTAATGTTAGGTGAAACTTTTCATCCTAATCATGACATGGAATGGTAGAGACTGAATATTTTAATCAACTTGTTCATAATTTAGGAGCCCTCCTGAGTCAGAACTTTTCCTCCTATTTGTTTTCATTTACTCTACCTAAGAGTTAATAATAATAAAATAAAAGAGCTACAAAATTGGGCTCCTTCTATCCCTTGTATGCTCTCTTTAGTCTCAGGGAGAGGAAGCCAGTTTCTTCTCAGCTGTTCTTCCTGTGTTTGGAACTGGGACAAGCACATAGGTGCAGTTATTATTTTCCCAGTGGCGGCCTACCCACATTCTTGACATGTAGGTTTGCATCCACTGGGAAAATTGTCATTTGTGGGGTCACATTAATTATATTGTCATATATAACACAAATGTTCACTTTGGGCAGAATATAATATAATGAGTTTTAAAATCGGGCTCAGCACCTGTAGCTCAGCAGCTAGAGTGCCAGCCACATATATCAGAACTGGTAGGTTTGAACCCAGCCTGGGCTTGCCAAATGACAATGACAACTACAGCCAAAAAATAGCCGGGTGTTGTGGCAGGCGCCTGTAGTCCCAGCTACTTGAGAGGCTGAGGGAAGAGAATCGCTTAAGCCCAAGAGTTTGAGGTGGTTGTGAGCTGTGATGCCACAGCACTCTACCCAGGGCGACATAGTGAGACTCTGTCTCAAAAAAAAAAGAAAAAAATCAGGTGCATTTAATACCGATTCCTGAATGCTTCCTTACAGCATTTTAAGAAAAGCAGAATTTCTAGTCTACCCACGATAATTAATAGATTCTTTTATACCAGATTTCTTCAATCATTGCCATATCTTAAGTGGCTATTTAGGGAGTATTAAGAAAAAAAATAAACTGGAATGCAGCAGCAGGAGCATAGCTCGCTGTGGCCTCAAATTCCTGGGTGCAAGTGATTCCACTTACCTCACTCCTAGTCACTGGAACCACAGGCATATGCCACCACACACAGCCAATCTTTAAGTATTTTTGTAGAGGAGTGTCTGGCTTTGTTGCCTAGGGTGTTCTCAAACTCCTGGCCTCAAGCAGTCCTCCCACCTCAGCCTCTCAAAGTGCTGGGCCTAAGTAGCTCATTTTATTTTGAAATCACTTAGATTGGTTTATAGGCTTATTTAAAATAAACTTTAAAACACTGAGAGGTTGTGCATTTATTTGCTTTTATCCCTCCAGGGAAATGAGACTCCTAAGCACTGTTAGTCCCTTAGCACTTGATATTCTTGTTTGTTATCTCGTCAACCTCAGTAAATACTTACTGACAAAATACTTTACAATTTTTTTCAAGATGACAACATCAGGAGGTGGAGGTTTCTGTGACTGTGGTGACACTGAAGCTTGGAAAGAGGGTCCTTACTGTCAAAAACATGAACTTAACACCTCTGAAATTGAGGAAGAAGAGGTAAAAACATTTTCACAAAGTTGTTTTAAGGGAATGTTATTTTATCCACAGGTTTGGAGTATTTTCAGAAATAGGAATTGGGTTATAATGTGAGAGAAATAGACAAGCAAATAGTCCTGCCGCTGTTAACCCTAAGCGTGCTTTGAAAATTCTTACTTTGTGGGTGCTTTCTGGAAATGTAGTTTAATTCAGATTTCTTATTTTGTTGGGGTTTTCTTTTTAAGTATACATCTGGTTTTTTTAAAGTTTTAATTTATTATTGAAGGGATTATTTTTCCTGTAGGTGTAGTCCAGTTGACTAAGTTAGTTTTAATTTATCTGTGTTGTGATAAGACTTTGCAGGGCTGGCTCGGCGCCTGTAGCTCAAGCAGCTAAGGTGCCAGCCACATCCACCAGAGCTGGCGGGTTCTAATACAGCCTGGGCCGGGCGTTGTAGCAGACACCTGTAGTCCCAGCTACTCGGGAGGCTGAGGCAAGAGAATTGCTT